TTCACACAGAGCCTTATATGCTGTTTCTACATCCCTCCCCCACAGCACTGTGATTAGAAGGGAACTCGGGAAAAGATCAATCACTGGCCAGCTACATATGTCAATATCAGAGAAGTCTTTCCCCCCCTCCGCCCCTTCTCAGTTTGTTTCCCTGCAAGCAAGACCGCCTTCTGAAATTGCCAAATCTTTTCCAAAATCAATTTGGATGCTTCAAATCAATTTAGAGCTTTTATTGGGTCTCCCAATTCAATTTGGATTCGATGATTCGGCCGCCAAATCAGGCTGAATTTTCTCCAACTCAAATCGGCAACTGAAACTTTGCGCAGCCCTAGAAAGCACCGTAATTTTTTTTTTTTTTTGGTATATGCCACTCCATTCACAAAAGTTACTGGAGGGTTGCCTTGAGTCCAAAAAGGTTGAGAACCACAGCCCCAAGACCCAGAAGTCCCAGTGAAGAACCAGGTCCACTGTATTATGTTCTGTAAAACACAACACATAGACCCTCCCAGAACTCAGTATGCTTAGTTTGGTTGTGTTCTTTACACAGAAGAAGTGTGGAACCCAAACCCATGATATTTATTTGATGCTTTAAAAAGGGCCAGTTTAATATACTGAAAGTTATGGACCACATCAGCTGGGAGAAAGAATGAAAGAAACAAAAAAGACCAAACAAACAAAAACTGAAACGCCAGGACTGAGTACAGTTCAAGGAAATTTTCCAAGATTCCCCCAAACCTTATCTGTTTAAAAACGCAGCACTGCTAGCTGGAAAGTGAACGTATTTTTTAAAAAATAGTACCCAAAATGGATAAAGGGAAGACACATAAGAAGTTAGCAGCTATGAACTATGAAAGGTAGTTAAGGGAAGTACAAAGATAAGAAGATCAGTGGACAAAACAGTAAAAGTCCTTCAGTAAGGAACTAAAGGAATCCAACAATGGAATTGATCCATTAAGAGAGAGTAATGGTCGATTCAGTAATACACAAAGGGCAGAAGCAGTAAATGTTTCTGTTCAGTATTTGGGGAAAATCCAAATTATATATTGCTATCTTATGGAATCAAAGAAACACTTTCTTTTCCAACAGTAACTCAAGAAAGCCAAGTTAAAACATCTGAATCAGCTGAAAGTTGTAAAGAAGCTGGGTGAAAAACAGTATGGATCACTGATTTTCAGTAAGTCCTGCAGCACTGGGAAAAGAGTTCCAAAGGCTTGGAAGAAAATTAAATATTATGATACTTTAAATGGCTAACACAGATTACCTGGATAGTTAAGCCTGTCAGTGCTCCCAGGCAAAGGGACAGGAGGATTCATAAAGGACTTGATCAATCAAATCACAGCAGGCAAGTGCCAAAACAAGACAGATTTATAAAAGAGAGTTCTTGTCAGGCTAATGGTGAGATAAAGAGTTGTATTGACTCTATGTTAGAAAACAAGTAAACCTAAACTTCTGCAAGGTATCTGACATCTTAATTTATACACCGGATGAAAAAATATGATTAAAAAAAAAAATCAATATGGCACTGTAACAGGGGACCTGAACCTTGTTACTCAGCCAAGGAGAGAGAGACGGCAACAGAGATCAGAACATGGGAACAAACAGTCTGGACTGGAAAGACCCGTGTCACAGAGCTCCTAGCCCCTGTGCAGGCTGAGGAAGAAACAGGCAATTGGATGGGAGAAAGAGCTCAAAGCCAGAGAGGCTTTTCAGGGAGCAAGGGAAGGTGACCCCTGGGTAAGGGAAGCCACACGACAGCTTTTGTATGACAGGCGACAGTTTTCCAGAGGCCCTACACTGAGAGCTCAGGAGGCATCAGGTGTCACATGCCAAAGAGGCTCACTCTCACCTGCCGTTTTTGTTTTCCTGGAGTGAAAAGACTTTTGTTAAAGCAGTGGTTCATTTCCTTTTGATATTGTGTTTACCCAGTGAGGAAAGGGTTTGTTTTTTGTTTTTTTGGGTTTGTTTGTTTTTTGGGTTTTTTTGTTTTGTTTTGTTTTGTTTTTTTTTTGGGGGGGG